TATTCTTGTTTCGTTCTTACTGGTTCATTCAAACTCTCTAACACACATCGAAATGCATAAGTCAAACAATTACAATGATTAGGTACTTTTTAAAAAAATTTTATTGAAAGTAACCTTTGTAGTGTAAAAATTGTAAAGGAACGTTCATATTTTTTTTTTCCTCTGAAGACGAAAAGAAATAAAACAGTATGGAAAATAAATACTCATAAGTTGTAAAATTTGGATTTCATAAGTGCTTAACTACGCGTTTCTTATAAAAAAAAAACAAAAAACTTTTTTTTTTTTTTTTTTTTTTTTTTTAGGAGGTCGGAGCAACGTACGTAAATGCGCTACAAACTTTCTCTTGTTCATTTCTTTTTCTCGCCCGCCACCATTTTTGAATGAACTTGGAAATTTCTAGGAATGTTTCCTATTTTTGACGCTGTTGAGTGTTTTATTTCCTCTACCATATTTTTGTTTTTTCTTTCGGTCCCACATTGCCTGGGTGATGTAGCCCCTATTTCATTCTAAAAAAAATTCTTTTTTTCTGTTGCCCGTCCCAGGCGAGCTTAGATTTCATTTCAATCTTAAAAGAAAAAAAAAAATCTCCTGAAAGAAATCCGTTTTCAGTAGTGACATGGTTCAAGTCGAGTATTGTGGTCCGTACTGAAATATGTGATGTCACGATTTTCTTTCTTTTTTTTTTTTTTTTTTTTTAATGTTTATCCTGTACAAGCCCAAGAGCCATCCAAGGTAGAGGGTTTGTGACATCACCCCAAACAAGGAGATAATGTCAACAAGAAACAATGGAAAGCAAGGGAAAATACTTTAAGGAATCGGAAATCTAATCTTAAACAAGAAGGGGAAGCCTCTACTATTGGTTAAAAGACCTGGGAGGAGTATGAACCGGACGATAAGCAAAACCTATCTATTGAGTGGGGTGTAGGGCAGTAGACTAGGTATTGAGATGGTCACACCCATAGATGTATCTATCAAATGGATTATCATCTGGAGATACAGCTGTAGCTGTACTCTTCATCGTGGAATTAAGAGGCCCCCACCAGGCATTTAATGAAAAATATCTGGAAAAAGTCCTCAATTATTTAAAACTAAAGCCACATAATTCAAGGAAAAAGCTTTTTGTTTTAAGATTTAAGATTGTTAACCCACTAAATGCAGATGAAAAATTTTTGTCATTGCAATTTTGCAGTTCAATTGAGTGACCAAACTTGGTCATTCATGGGTCAACAATATAGGATTGGGAGTATTTGAGATTCCTAACTATTTCTGCAAGACAACACTTGAATATCATTTCTACAACTTGAATACAACAGTTGGCTAAAAATGGAATTGATAAACACCTGTACATGTTAATAATTACAGCGACAGAATGAGTTCAAAGAAAGTTTAAGATTAATAACAACTCTTAATTTAAATAAGATAGCTACAGTGCTTGACTTGCACCAAACTAATCAATTGTAACGTAATGATACTTTATTTTATTTTTGGTTTGAAGGTAACTGATGTATTTGTTGACCCCCCCCCCTCTATGAATGCAAAAAGAATGTAGTGAGCTTAATTATTTACCCGCTGCCCCATGCAGCAAGATGTGGCACAAGGCTGAGTTTAAAGTGGGCTATCCGAGCCTGTAGGCTCGGGCAAAAATTCCTTAGAGACCACGTAAAAACAGTTTTCTGAGACGAGACTCTGCCCTTTGGCAGACTTGTCTGGGGGATACCCTCTGACATAAGCCAGGTAAATATGAGTGTAGTGAGTTTAGGCCATGACAGCTACAAGATTGGGTGTAGAGGAGATATGTTGTAGCAGCAGCTGATTGGCACTGTTTAAAAATATACCCCCTACTTTCAAAAAGTAACTTTCTCTTTTCCTTCAACTATGCATTGGGACCTGTACCAAACCAGAAGCACTCCTTTTCTGCCAGTCAGTAGTACTTTTTTTTTTCTTTTTTTTGTTTTTTTTAAATCAGAAATATACACTTTTGGAGTTACTCTGATGTTAATGAAAAAAAAAAAGTATATTTTTTCCTCAGCTGAATATTTGTTTTATTCCTATTTTGTAAGACAAATAATTTGCAAAATTTCAATGTGTTGTGTATTTGCTTTTATTTTATATCATTATGTTGTAAAGATTTTTGGTGATATAGATATCTCTTTGGTAGATATGCAAACTACTTGAAGAGCTTTAAGGTACTTACCTAGGCACAATGGTTAATGACACCTCTTTCAGACCATGCACTCTGAACTCATGATCTTGTACCAGACTAAGCTTCTCTTCCTTAGTGCTACTTTTTCTCTCCTGTAAAAAATAAGGCCACAGCTTCACCACACTAGGAGTTGTGCATTTTTTTTTCCTTTTCTATTTAATCAGAAAATGGCTGTTCCCTCAACTTTTCCACAGTCATTAAATCATATCTATGATCCATCCCATCTTAATAAAAAAGATGCTGTTTTTCAGGATCAGATCTACAAGGCTGATATTTTCTTTTATGTTCTGTGTCCTTTCAGGATACAGGTGATCATGGCTCTCCACAATTTCCTGTCCTTTGTAGTTTGTCATTTTGCTATCTCTTAATCCCTGTTCTGCCAACACTAGCACATTAGGTAGGCTATGTGCTTTCCTCTGTCCCTCTTACCTTCAAATACCCTGTGAGTGTTAAAATCATGTGCCCGGATTCTAAATATAAGTGTCTTTTTTGTATCCATTTTCTCTAAAACTGTCATTGTTCAGCCCATAGTATTCTCAACATCATTCTATAGAACCACTTTTCTTCATCTGTGGTGCCATTTAGGAGGACCAATATTGCATAACTGTTCAGTACACATTTCTTTGTTTCTAACGAAATTCTCCTGTTTCATAATACTTTTGGAAGTGACCTTTCACTATCATAATGCACTTCAAGATTTCTGTGTCACCTTTCCTGTCTTCTGTTAAAACACTTCTGAGATATTTAAACTTTTGTACTTGCTTGATTTTGGTGTCCACAATAATGCTTTCTTCAAAAACAGTTGCCGCTGAACTCTAAATTATCAAGTTTCTTAATTTGTCCATTAATGGTGATTGAGGTCAGGATACAGCATTAGCCAATTGAAAGTCATAATATGAACAAGCAAGATCTTTTCCCTCTCTCCTCAGCCACTTTTTTTTCATTGTCTTTACATATATTTATATCCTCTGATAATCTGTGCTGATATATATTTTGTCATGAATTCTTTTTTTCCCTTTTCTCTTTATACTTGAGTAATTAAATCACTAATTTTTAAATGTCTACTGAAACTTTAGCAATTTCTTTTCTTTTTACTCATAAATCTACACTGAATACTTAAAAATGTTATATCTACTTTTTTTCATGATAAAATTAATGGCAAAGACTTCATCCATTAAAATACCTAAAATATTTTTTATATTCAAAAACTGATATAAATAAAACCTAGTTTAGGTATAAAAAAAAAAATTACGAGATTTTTTTTTTTAACCTAATTGTTCACCAACCACCTTGATGAGCATCCTTTTCTCTTTAAGATGGGACTATTTTGATATTTGTAGGTAGACATGACTTGGAGTGCAACTAATCTGAAAAACACCACTAAAAATTGTAAACGCAGAAAATTGCTGTTCATTTTTGAAATAGCAACATAATTTTTTTTAAATTGTAGTTTAAAAACTAATCATCATACCTGAGAAAAAAAATTTAATCTTTAGAAAAAGAAAAGATTAAACTTTGTTTACATACTAATTGTAAACTCTTGAAAATAAACAAGATATCAGCAGCTGAAATGAAAGTCAATTTCACTACTTCAATGTGTTTGCACTATAAACTAGGGTAGTTTGTGATGCATATTAATATTAAACATTTTAAAATTCCAAATAATATGAGCCACTTAAAAAAAGAAAAAAAAAATACAGATGTTTGGTTATGGAAATTCTGATTTAAAATCTTTGTTTTTAATCATTTCAACCCACAAAGCAAGGCAATAAAGTCACTGATGCAAGGGGTTACTGATTGTGAAAGAATGTAAGAAAAACCTTATTAGAGAGATAGATAAAACAATAAAAGAACAGTAATTAAAATACAGAAGATAATGATTGACATTACATTTAAATTTTTGAAGATCAAAGTGGACTGGAAAGAAAGAAGCTGGATGAAAGATCCACTAGCCAAAAATGAAAGGGAAGGAACTGTTAATGAATTAATATCTAGCAATTTCAACTGTAAAATGATGAGATACTGGAGTTTTCACCACTCCCTTGTACTCTTAATATTGTATAGGGGTGCTTGGAAAGAGAGAATAACTATTGCCAGTCTCCAATGCTCATAATAGGCATTAGTATACCTTTGACATGTTAATACCTTAACACAATGGAAAGAAGGACCAGACTTGCTGAAAAAATACAAATACCAAATACATCTTGTGCTCGATGAGATTTTAAATACAGATATGCCATACAAGATATGATATACAAATACCTATATACTTGTCACTATTTGTCCTATACAGAAACTATAACATGTGAATAAAACAAGCAGTGTGAAAGCGTGGGGGGGGGATCATTAGTGTCTTACTTGTAATATTTCCCAGCCAGGTTGGGTGATGTCTTTTATGTTCTTTGTTTCCATTCATTCTATTTATTGCTGAAGGCTAACTTCATTGGAGTCTACATAATAACTGGTGTTCATCACTGCATAAACTGTTGCCATTCCTGGGCTGTCATGTAACCCTGATAAAGTCATCCTATCAAAAGAGACAGTTGCCCTGTGCATCCCTACAACTATGAGGTGTTAACAAAATTCAGCTGTCTTGACAAAGTGATTCCTCTTTCTTCATTATGCTTTAGCTTTGTTTGAACAGACTCTCTCAAAAATTCACTTTTTTTTTTTTTTTTTTTCTTCAGAATCTCCATCATGCCTTCTTTTTCTCCCTACCTTACTCGTGAACAGGAGGAAGAGTTGAGAACTGTAGCCAAAGCCATTGTGGCACCTGGTAAAGGTATTTTAGCTGCAGATGAATCAACAGGTCAGTTGGCTTTTTTTTTTTTTTTTTTTTAATAATTGTCAATTTTTGTTGTCTAAATTCCCAAATTACACAATGTTACTTTTTTTTTTTTTTTTTTTTTTTTTTACAAACTTAGGATTTTGACCAATACTCAGCTTTAGAATTAGCACCAAAGTTGCTTGAATTAATTAATAGAAAAACACATTTCAATGTACAAGGGTTGACTGGAAATTTCATTGTCTGACCAAGATGTAAATGTAAGCAAACACACCAGTTGGTAGGTTATAATACAATAGCTGACCGACTTGCATGTCTTTTCATCAACCAACTTGTATATCTACTAAAATTTATATTTTGGTCAGCTTATGAACTTTCCTGCCAACCCTCGTAAGTAAACTAGTAGAATTCTTGAATACTGTATGAAATAATGTATTTAGTAAATATTTTTTGCTTAATTTTACCAAACCTTCAGTAAATTGCTTAAGCCAAACGTCATTAATTGAATTGATTGAAATCTGTCAAATTTGAGTCCAGTTGGTTATTATGGAAAAAAAATATTCTTGATTTACCTCAAGACAAAATCAAGCCGAGCTTCTCGACTGGACGGTCGAACTTTCTGCCTCTGAGCAGAAAGGAACCCGGACGAGGTTCCGCCGAAGGGCAGAATCTCGTTCGGGGGAAAATGACCTCGTTTATACTGGTTATACGGGCATTTTTTTGACGGGCCCTCACGGCTCAAGAAACCCACGATAAACTCGGCCTTGTGCCACATGCAACCCCTCATTTGGGGGGGCTAGATACCTCAAGACAAAATACCTACAGTTTTCCTTTTTTTCATGTCTGTGTTCTTTAGAACTTCATTGGACTAAAGTGATGTTTATGTTGATGCAACTACATGTGAGCACATAGGAGGGGAAGTGCTTGAAAATTTTTTTTTTTTTTTTTTTTTTTTTATGTTTTGGGTAGATAGTCTAGCTGATAATACATCTGGCATAAAAAGTGAAATGTAAGGACCTGTGAGTATCCTAGTATTCAATAACTATATGTTTAGGCATTACCCTTTCTTACAAACATGTTTCTTTGAATATGACAGGCAAGGAAAAATTTAATTTTTTTTAATTTTTTTTTTTTAAGTATTCTTAAATTTTTCTGTTTAGTAGGGGGTAAGGTAGTGTAAAAATTGTCCATAGTCTCTATTGTCAGAAGTGATTTCAGTCACATTGTTAGTCATTTTCAAGGTGTTTGTTATTTATTGTTAATTTCTTTTCATGGCTGTTTTTTTTTTTTTTTTTTTTTTTTTTTTTTTTTTTGGACATAGTTGTGATACCTATTGTAGGCTTATTTATTCCAAGCCCTGCTGGAATTTGAGTTGGCTTTCTTCTGTCTAAAAAAAAAAAAAAACTTTTGCACACTATTTCCATTGTTAAATAAAGTAAGATTAATATGGAGTGCCAGATGATTTTTTAGAATGCTTCTCTCACAGTGAGACATTTTCGATTATTGGAGATGTGTGTGTGTTTGCATGTGTAATCTTTCTTGATTATCTATAAATAGCAAAAAATATGTCCTGTCAATGGGATCTTTACTATGTCAAATACATCTGCAGAAAGATGAAAAACTTTCCATACCTGAAGACATGACCTAACAAGTAAATGTTTACAAACTTCAATATAAACAATCAATATTTAACAGTTCCTGAACAAATATATATATATATATATATATATATATATATATATATATATATATATATATATATATATCTCAAAAGAATTTTGCTGTCAGCTAACCCAACAAGTTTTGGCATGTTGTCAAATGCCTAATCTAAGGCATACTTCTGTTACATGGAATCTTTGATGCTCAAGTTGATTCAATAGTGTATGCTTCTCTGACCTTTTTATATTATTAGATTCAGTTGTAAACAAATGTGTGTGATTGGCTTGACAGATTTGGCTAGTCCATCAAGAAAGGATAAATAAACTTATTTAGCGCATGATGATCAATTTGATATTGTTATAAAATAACCTGTTTAATTTTCCAATTCCCTTTTCTTTTACTCAGGTACAATTGGCAAGAGGTTATCAGCAATTAACTTGGAAAATACCGAAGACAACCGAAGAAAGTATCGTCAACTCCTCTTCACCACCAATTCTGAACTTGGCAACAACATCAGTGGCGTCATTCTCTATCATGAGACGTTTTATCAGAAGAGTGACGATGGCACTCCTTTTGTGCAACTCCTCAAGAACATGGGCATCATTCCTGGAATCAAAGTTGACAAGGGGGTTGTTCCATTGATGGGCACATTTAATGAATGCACTACTCAAGGTAGGTCAAAGATCTTTTATATTTATGTCACATCATTTCAGTCAAATTAAGATGTTGAAAGATCCCACCCACTTATTTTTTTTATTTTTTTTTTCTCTTAAGCAAATTCTTCTCAATTAATCACATCAAAATCAAACATTATACAGTAAAAGTTTCACATCAAAATTCAACTAATTGTCTTACTTACACTATTGTCCTCCTCTTTTGTTGTTACCAAGTATTAGTCATTGTGCTCTCCAGCCTCCATCAGTTGTGTGTCACTCTAGATAACCTACAGGGAATTCTGAACTGAACCCTTTATTTAATTTACATTGGTAGACTGTTCTCATTCCACTGCCCATGTCTAAGAATATCTCCTAGTTTTTATTTTTATTACTGCTCAGTTATTGCTAACCTTGTTTCTGCTAAGTCCAAGTGCACACTGCCTAGCCTAGTGATTGAACTCACAATTATTATATCATCAAATTCACTAAGCAACACTTTCATCCACTACATTATTGTCTCACGGGACAATTCTGTTAAAAACTTGGTGCCTAAAATCATAACCTGCCTGCTGATGAGTGGCTGCTGCTGTTGATTTGCTGTCATTTGTATTTCTTCCTTTATTAGCAGCATTAAAAATAAGAACTTAATTTTCTCTTTGCTTTTAAAAAAGAAATTTTTCTCTTTTTATTTATGGTAACTACTTTTCTGCTTGTTTAGAGTAATTAAAGGTACTGGTGGGCAAATTTCTATAATAAATAACTCTTTAAAAAACAAGTTTTACTTTCCTTTAAAATTTCTGTTATCTATGTTTTTGCTTGTTTAGAATAATTAAAAGTTGGTTTGCAATTAGCAACTCTTAAGAAAAGAAAATGTAACTTCAAAAAATTATCAGAGGTATGAAATCATCCATGGACACAAACGTCCAGGATGCAACTGTTGTGTCCACCTTCTTTATCTCCACTCATTCTTAATCTTTTAAGTTTTCAGTTATTGTTCACCCTGTTTCCACAGAGTCCAAGAGCACACTGTTTGGTCCAGGGATTGAACTTACATTTCCTATGTCACAAACTAATAGTTTCCTCCACTAGGCTATTGTCCTGTGGGACAATTCTCTGTTGAAAACTTGGTGCCTAAAATCCTAACCTGCTTGCTGATGAGTGCTACTGCTGCTTTTCACACTTGACTGCACTCACTGAAGCTTTTCTCTTTTGTTACAGCTGCTGCTGCTGTTGAAGATTTGCTGTCATTTGCATTCACTGAAGCTTTTCTCTTGCTGCTGCTGTCTTATTGATTCACTTCTTTTGAATTTTCAAAATTCAGTTAATAACTGATTTATTGATGCATCCTGTTAATTAATGTCTAAATATAAAACTACAATGTCTTTCACTGACCTGACAAATCACTCCTCACATTGTGTTTTTTTTTTTTTTTTTTTTTTTTTTTTTTTCTAATTCATATGTGGTGTGTACAAAAACTGGAAGTCTTGCCTGTTCACAAAAGATGAAAATCAACATCAATAAATAAAGACCCGAATCCAGTTCTCAACTATTGAGTGTTTATTCCAACTAGGTTCCCTGGTCTAATTTTGAGTATTCACTTGAATCTTTTAAGACTATAATATAGTATTTGCTTAATGCACTATAAACATGACCTTATACCAGACTTGGTTTAATGGGTAAATCAAAACTTTTCATGGCATGTGGAACTAGACCCCGGTGAGCAATATAAAGGGTTTGGTTTGACATTCCAACCACCTGAAGAAGGCCCGGGGCGTACAACGGCTGAAATGTTGTAATAAATATGGCGACAATAGTCCGAATAATGTAAATAGTGTATATAATATCTCATCTCAGAAATATAGACAGATACTGAGAACTTTAAATATATATATATATATATATATATATATATATATATATATATATATATATATATATATGATATTTTTTATATTTTATGAATTTTTTTTTTGCTTTTTTTTTTTTTTGTTTTTTTTTTTTTTTTTTTTATATATACCTTGTGTATAATGCAACCCCAGCTTCTGAGCAATGCTAGTATGCCTACTGTCGTCAAATATTGTAGAGCATCATCCTGGACATATTTTTTAGCAAATAGTTTTCATTTTTTTATTATACCGTATTTTTATTTTCATTCACATTGGAAATTTTAATCTCTCCAGAAATTTGCCTATGTATAATATGCCACACACACCAACTTTTTTTTTTTTTTTTTTTTTTTTTTTTTTTTTTTTGCAAAAAAAAATAATCATAAAAACTTGTCCTATATCCGAGTGCATACAGTACTGTAAATTTCTTGTGTATTTCAGGTCTGGATGGATTGGCGGAACGTTGTGCTGAATACAAAAAAGGAGGTGCCCAGTTTGCCAAATGGCGCTGCGTACTGAAGATTGGACCTCACACCCCTTCCTACCAAGCTATGATGGAAAATGCTAATGTTCTTGCTCGTTATGCAATGATCTGCCAACAGGTCAGTCACTCATGCATATATACATTGTCTTTCTCTGCTAAGTAACTTGTTCTTTTCATGCTGGCAAACATTTTTTGGGGAAAAACACTGAAACAGTATTTAAATTTTATTATAATGCATTTAAATTGAAAATATATTTTTGCTTGATACCATTTTACTTTTCTTAATAGTTTTATAAAATTAATTAAAAAAAAAAAAAACTATCACTTGTAATCCTTCTGTATTTTGTGGGCCCAGTGAATCAAATGAGGATATTTAGGTATTATTTTCATAGCATTGTGGCATGAAATTTATTTATTGTGTATATATATATATATATATATATATATATATTTTTTTTTTTTTTTTTTTTTTTTTTTTTTTAAACAATATCTATTATGAAAAAAGAAACATGACTATTCAATAATAACATTTTTAAAAGTTTATTCCAAAGCATATGATTATCGACACACATTTTTATAACCTGAAAATAAAATATTTAAAAAAGAAAAAAAATTTATAATTATGCAAACCATATATATATATATATATATATATAATACTTGTCCAGAAAAACCTTAGGTGTGTTGGCTTGTAAATGAACAAACCAATACCTAAGGAAAAATAAGGAATAAAAAAAAAAAAAAAAGAAAGAACATGTAATTCAGGTGAAAACAATCGACCAGAATCCAAAGAAAAAAAAACTCTGATAGGAGTGGAGAAGAAAAATTTAATGATTAATCATTGACTTTGTTTCTTTTTTTTTTTTTTTTTTTCTTGTTCTTTTAATAAATGCTCTGTGCATTCTGAGAATTGAAAAGAGGATTGTTGTTTGTCAGAAATTAATAAGTGTCAAGGACTGATTTGTCCTTTTGATATGTAAATTTTTATTTATTGTTGATTTTTTATTGAAGTTTCATTTTCTTTTCATTAAACCCCTCTACCCTTATTTCTTACACAGAATGGTCTTGTGCCCATTGTAGAACCTGAAGTACTTCCAGATGGTGATCATGACTTAGCAACTTCTCAGAAAGTTACAGAACAGGTGAGTAAGCCTCTCCCCCTACACACTTATGACCTCATTAATGTGTGTGTGTTTTCTCTATCATTTGCCTAGCATTTTGAGTTAATTATTATTGTGTTATACACACACACATATATATATATATACACACACTGAGTAGAAAGAGACTACCTATTTAAATTATTGATAACTATATTAATTATTGGTCAATTTGCATAAAACATGTTTTATGTTGACCAGTATAATGTTACATGTACAGTACTTAGTTAAAATTTTCACATTTCCTTCCAATCTGGATGTTGAAGGTTCTATCCATTTTAGGACCACACAAGGTGCATCATTTTTTTTTCTTTCTCTCATTGGATAGTTCCTAGGCAGTGTATTGCTCACTAAAATTTGTAGTTATCTCAATACCTGCAAAACACAAATTCCTTCAGCATTTGTCCATTCCTGAATTATTTTCAGGAGATTTAGCTTCATGAACAATATCAATGAAAGTTGAATCACAAGATCTTGCAAAATGTAAAGGTCTAGGCTTTTGATTAAAAGGATCATTTGTCTGCTTTGTTGTCATCATTCATATCATCATCTGATTCTGAATAAGTAATACTGCCATTTTCACTTTCATTATCATCTTCACAAAAAGAAATGGCACCTATTTAGAATGGAAGATATTTTTTATTTAATTAAAAACTTCAACCATGGGTCCAGTGAAGTCACCAAACTTTTATTTTTTATTTATTTATTTATTTTTTTTTTATTTTTTTTTTTTTTTTGTTCTAAATTTATTTCCTTCATGTAGATGATAGAAAATGAAGAAAAATAAGTTTAAAAAAAAAAGATAATAATTTGGATAGAATAAATATGAGGGTAAAAAAAAAAAAAATTAGTTTTGAAAAAAATTCTGGGACCATTGGACACATTAGTAAACTGAGGGTTAATATTACTCTTTTTCCCAAGCTAATATACATGACTATAAAAATGTTAAAAAATTAAAAGAAAACTGTTGGTGCATGCATGATATACACGCTTCAGCTACACCTTTACCATCTACGACTTGCCTCGTGGGGCATAAAGTTCCCATTTTCTCACATGGCTCTTACTGATTACTTGTTGATTGTGTGAAACCATTTGAAACTGGCAGTCATGATTGGTCACTGCTCACTGAAAATTTTATTTAAAATATATAATTCTATGTCCCTGCTGATTGTAGGTAATTGCAGTTCTCCATATTGTTTTTAATATCTTTGAATTGCCACAATTCCATGGGAAAGATATTGGGAGGTTTTTCCATTCTTCTAGGCTGGTGGCCATCTAAGGTTAGTGTCAAGTTTACCTTGCTATTTAACCCATAGCTGAAGTGTCGTCTTGGGTAAGACGTTAAACTACGTCCAGCAGCAAGGCCTCTGATCAGGAGGTTTTGAGGAGCGGGGAACCACCTCTTAATTGCTGGTGTTCCCAGGTCCACCCTGATCCAGGGTGGTAGCACCTGTTAGGGTCCCAGCTATGGGCAAATAGTTAATTATTACCAGCAATACTTGTTTTGAAAAAAATTATTACCAGAAATACAATTTTGAAGGAAATATATTACCAGAAACAGATTTTTGACAAAACAAAATATTACCAGCAATAAAAATTTTTGTCAGCATTAAATAACCCATTGAGGTTGATATGGCATAAAACAAAATAAACCAAACCATAGCTGAAGGGGAGGGGGCTAAGAAATTGATTGTTGCCTTTCTCAAATGGGAATGCAACAAACTAGGTTAGAATTTGAACTCTGCTTGTGTGCTTCCTTCCCATTCTCTCCTGATAGCTATTATATTATCCATGCAACTTTGGTAATAGGAAAAAAATGTAAGTAAAAGTGAGTTCATGCCTTTCCTAAGAGCATCAGGATAAATTTAAGCATAAATAATCTGACCCTGAATCTGAACTATTCACCAATTTAGGTCAAAGATTACTTAATTTGAGATATATATATATATATATATATATATATATATATATATATATATATATATATAATAATAATAATAATTTTGTTTTTAATGTCTTAAATCTTTTGCAGGTTTTGGCTTTTACCTACAAAGCCTTGGCTGATCACCACATTTTTCTTGAAGGCACATTGTTGAAACCCAACATGTGTACGGCTGGACAAAGCTGCAGTGCAAAATTCACTCCTCAGCAAAATGCTTTGGCCACTGTAACAGCTCTCAGGAGATCTGTCCCAGCTGCAGTCCCTGGTAAGTAATAATAATGATGAAATATATATTAGTAGTAGGGCATAGAATTCGAACAAAAATCATAAATCAAAGTGCAAAACCTTTTTATAAACATTTTGACCTGAAGATGCATGCATAACAAAGGTGAAATGTTGTCAAAAAACATCTATATATGCCTTTTAAAAATTCAGATATAAATAAAATAGCAACATTTACTAACTTTAATTTATTTGGCATTAAATTGTATCACTTAGCATCTTCCATAATTTACCTTTTTCTTTTACAGTTAACCACCAGAATATTTGAGTATTCTTAAATTTAAGAATTTTGAAAGCCTAATATTTTTACTTTTGTTTTATAAATACTTTTTTCAAAATAAAATTCTTGCATTTGCGTTGATAAAGTCCATCACAGAATGAAATGCATTAGTAAAGAAAAGATTTCCTTTTTGTCTTTATATATAAAATCTCAATCTTAGATTATCTATTAATATAGTTTTATGGTATGCTATATTTGAGTAAAAGTGCTCAGTATCAGAGAAGGTTTATTTCAGGCATATATATATATATATATATATATATATATTCCAGGATCATTTTTCAACTTATTTAAGATGATCTTCACCCTCTCTAATCTTTTTTGTTCTGAAGTAACTCCTCTCTCACAAGCCAAGCATCTTATGAATAGAGCTGGATCTTATTTTAATTGATCTCTAGCACTAAGTTGAAATGTTGATCCCTCTTGTTGTGACCTTCTGATCCAGTTTTCATCTCTACTCTTCCCTCCTTTTTAAACTTATTCACCGTTCTCTTGATGGTTCTTGAATGGACTCTCATGCTGGAAGCTAGACTATGAATGCTGGTACCATTACTGAAGGCCTGAATGTTTTTCCTCTCACCATTGCTCAGTGGGGCTGACACAAAATGATTTTAACCTGTTCCCTTTCTAGTAGAATAACTCAAAGGGTTTTTCAGTGATTCTTACTATGACAAATGGTGTCAAGATGGCTTAATGGTGTCTTTATCTGAAAACCTTGAAAAAGGAAACTCCATCAGTTTAGTGGTTTTTTTAAAAAACATTTTGTGGGATGAACAGTTTTACACCCAGTATATGTTTTGACCTGAAGTTTGAATGAAACAGTTCACTATTTAGTGTTTGTTTCAGTATACATTTTATGTTTAGATACACACTCTGATATTGGCCATTTACTCCTAAATGTAGCATACCCTAAAATTATATTTTTATCATATATATATATATATATATATATATATATATATATATATATATATATATATATATATATATATATATAAAATTGAATTGAATGAATGATGAATCTTAAGACTGGAAATGTAGATGAGTTTTGCCAAACTGGAATAATGAGAATATTCTAACTCCAACTTGAGAATACAAATGGAATGTTACCACAAAAGACAACTTGAGTGGTAATATACTTACACATTTGGAATCCTAATAAAGTCTGCAAAGAGTGGTGTGTAGTCTTCTAATTTGGTGTGTGTAGCTGAGGGGTATAAATCTTAATTGAGAGCCAAGTGCTAAAATCTGATACTTTTTCCTTCCAGGTATTACTTTCTTGTCTGGGGGTCAGTCTGAAGAGGACGCTACCATCAATTTGAATGCTATTAACAACTGTCCATTGGGTAAACCATGGGTTCTAAGCTTTTCCTATGGCCGAGCTCTCCAGGCCAGCGTATTGAAAGCCTGGGAAGGCAAAGATGAAAATGTAAAGAAGGGACAGGAACAGCTTCTGATCAGAGCCAAGGTAGGTTTCTTTACTCAACATGAATTTTAATTCATAGCAACTTGTAGTAATGACCTAACAACTTTTTTTGCAACAAGCTGACATGTGTTAAAATCTTCATGATATAATATTATTGTTTGAAATTACTGCTAAAAATTTTTGTCATGATTTACAAACTCTACTCTCCCTACTGTGTTTATAATGACAGTGCTATTACTGCGCATTATATTTTATCAGAAATTTATTTTAATCCTTAAATTCTCCCACAAACTTAGTTTTGATCAATGTATGGCTATTTTAGAGGGTGTTATGGACAGGCAGACTCACAGATATCAGTTTTATATATAGATTGTTAATCTGTTTGAAGTTCATTATACGTTTGAGTACTTTTGATTGTCAATACAGTGATCAAAACTTGCAAGTGGGCAGTTTTTTTTTTTTTTTTTTTTTTTTTTTTTTTTTTTTTTTTTTTTTTTTTTTGTGTGTGTTGTTTTTGTTTTGTTTTAATCCTGATATAAAATATCTCAGTTGGAAAGATATATACAAGGTGAGGCAAAAGTTGCACACTCTAGGGTTAATTTATTAAAAGTATAATTACACATGAAAATTTTTTGTGCTGTTCAAAATGTCCTCCTTTTTTCAAAATACATTTCCATTCTTTGCCTGTATGATTCATTAACATGTTAGTTTCAACAGTCATTTTACTGCATTCATATTTAATCCTTTAAGTTCCTTAATATTTCTTGGGTATATCTGATATACAAATGATTTCAAATAGCCCCACTGGAGAGGGGGGGGGGAAAGATCCAAGGATGTGAGGTCTGGTGACCTTGGTGGTCACTCAGCAGAACCTCTTCAACCTATCTCTATTAACCTCTATAATATGCAACTTTTGCTTCATCTTATACATAAAATAACACCTATTGAGTATTGCTGCTAACAAAATAGTGGTTGATGTACAATAACGGATCTATAATTTATATTAATATTAAATATAATACATTTTTTCCTCCCTTACTGTTAGCACAAATTGGTTTCATGCACATTGCAATTGTTAGCTTTAATCAGCACCAGATGATTGCATTCTGCATGAACCTCTTTTGTGCTACCAGTGAGGAATATATATATATATATATATATATATATATATATATATATATGTATGCATATGTGCATTCCTTATTATTCTCATTCTCCTGTCCATATCTTGGGATATCTTGTCTTTTTCTATTTTACTACTGCCCAGTTATTGCTGGTCCTGTACCCACTGAGTCTACTGCCAGGCATTGGACTCAAAATTACTATGCTACTAATTTCATGAACAAACACATTAATCTTTTAAGCTATTATCCAAGACTGGCACCCTAGACATGTCCTTGGGACTAAGTATGGCCGGTGTGTACTAACCACCCTCCTGTGGACCAAGCCTATTTGGCATCCCTGGGCAGTGCTTTGTGACCCTTGCTATCTTATCAACATTTTTTTTTCTTTTTAATGTTACAAATTAAACTAAGCAAAACTGACTTTTAAAAGATGAAAAATGTTCGCAAATTTTGAAGTCATCCTGGTTTTGGGGTGGGGGTTGGTCCTTCTTTCTGTCTGAAGGAATGATCTATTATGACGTGCCTCTAATTTGTATTTAGATACATTTGTATTAATTTTCAATTTTTCTAGTTAAATTGTTCACCTATATAGCATATGATCCTTTATTGTACATAATTAGATTTGTATTTTATATGAAGTGAGATGTGGGAGAGCACATCATAGATTTGGGAGGGGTGATGAGACCATTTGACTGGTCTTTGGGACTAAGAGCGTGAAACTAGAGTATCTGAGATGTTGTTACTTAGTGCAATTTCATAGAGAAAATGTTTGTTAGAGGATATGCCAGCTCTGTATAAAACTTTAAAAATCTAATTATGGCACTTTGCTTAATGGCATACATTGTTATCATAATGAAATATTTTCCCTTGTTACTAAATGGGTGAGTCTGTTATGGACAGAGCAATAAAGAAACAGTTATGTTGTTCATTATATAATTACATTAACTGAAACTTTGAAAGAAAAAGTAGTCTATTTTGAATTGTGTTAATTCTAATCAGTTAAATTTTAACAATGTTCTAACTTTATTGCCTAATCTAAAACTTATTTCTTTCTATTTTAGGCCAATGGTCTGGCAGCTTTGGGCAAATATGGTGGTTCTTCAGATTCTGCTGCAGCATCAGAATCTCTCTACATCAAGAATCATGCTTACTAATCGGTGTTTCCTATTTCCATCTCCCCACTGACTCTGAGGTAATTTCTCGGGACATTAAAAAAAAATTCTGCAATAGAAAGTGATCTTTCTATGGTCTACAAGGAAGATGTTCAACCATCTCATTCAATGTTGTTTACTACTGAACATACCTCTGCTCTAATGGTGGCTGTTTATGGAACTAAGATGATTATTTTTGTGTTGGTAGTGATGATGTTGTAATTCAATAAAGATTAATAAAGAATTGTAATAAATAAAAAAAAAAAAAAGTTGTTTGTTTTGACCCTCCCCCTATTTATTTCTTTAATGCTCCTGTTTGCATTGCTACAGCATTGTCTGGATGTGATGTCCCATTCTAGAGAAAGAGGGGGGGAATATAAATTTTTACTGGAAATCTGATTATAAAGCTACTGACACCAATTTCTCATGGATGCCACCATGTTGGTTTCAATAGTCAGTACTGTAGAATACCCTAAGCTAAAAGATTCCCCCTCCACCAAATAGGTTTCTATTATACACAAGTATGTCTATTATGGTGGTGCTATTTGATAATACAATATGTCACCAATATGCCTTAAAAAAAAAATATATATATATATATATTGACAGCAGGCAAGGTAAGTTTTGTAACTTTTCATGTGTGTATGCAAATATAGAAAAATAGGAAAGAACCATTAGATTAAATATCTAAAGTTCTTTAGTATAAGTAGATGTCTGTCTGTCTGTCAACTTCTGTCAACTTACCATAAAATATGATACAAAGATTTAGTTTTCCCTCTTGTTTGCATAGTAACTAACAAATGGTCACAGCTGGAAGATTAAGTGCAAACTAGAGAGCTTACCTGTACTGTTAGGGTTAGCCAAAGGTAAGGTGAGAATGTAAGTCAACGAAAAATGCATGAATTTTATCCATGTATAATGCACCTCACCCCCCTTTTTTTTTTCTTTTTTTTTTTTTTTTTTTTTATAATTCTCTCAGTAATTATTGGCTCAGATGCTTTGAAGATTGGCCTTAACTTCTTAGTCATTGAATTTCTGCTGGAGATGTATTTGTTGAACATTTGGATTGGTGATGTGAATGTTAGTCATCAGTTAATATGAGCCACAATACTTGAATAGAAAATTGATTTGTTCTGCCATCATTTGAGGATTAAAGTAATATTCTATGGTAAAAGAGGCTATGATAATTTCATCTAGTTTGACCACAATAGATACTGTACTGCATGTGTTTTAGCTTGTAGTAGTAAGCAGTTTAATAAAATACAACTATTTCTTGGTAAGTACTACCTACTTATCTCCTTAATGCCTTGTTAACATTGACCTGTCCTTAAGACTGCCAGTATTAATCAGCTAACTTTTCTTTCAACATGGCATTTGTCTTTCATCTTGTGAGCTTGCAGCAGGCCCTTGCCTAGCTTTTGACAAGACTGGGAATTGAAAGGTAATATAGGATAATCATTAGCCAGTCAATGGAAAGCTTGGGTGAGGTCATGTATGTTTACAAGCTTATGACGATTTTTTTTTAAGTTACTCATTTACTTTTTTTTTTAAATCTCGCATAACACTAGCTTGCCCATTATACCACATGTGAAGTTCCCCATTTGATTTTGAACTCTGACCTGAACCTCTTATGTTTTCAACTTAGTTTGTTTCAATTATATTTGTGCTTTTTATCAGAACTCTCTCAGCTCAATAACCTTCACCCCTTAAACTAAGTGAACTAGAAATATATTTATCTATATTATTTTCCCCACAAGACATTGAGAACTTTTTTCACTACACTTTGCATAAAAGGGGAGACGAAATAGTCTCTGGTAGAAACCCCAAGTTTGTGTATGCTTCTTAATTGTTTCTCATATCTGAACAAGCCTCACCCATAAAAGACAAAAAACATTCGATAGAAATAGCATAAAGCTTTTGCTCAAGACACACACAATCTGTTGTTAATGCTTCTAAATGAATAGCAAGGCCCCGTTATTGAACCCACTGAATTTAAATATCTTGAAACAACAATTTTCAAAATAAAACAATTTGTTTTTATTTACAAGTGTCAAGTTTGAAATTGTGCTTACATCATTGATAACTGAATACCACTGCATGATACAGGATTACGAAATATCCGCCCTCATGATACATGCCAATAACTGGGTTTCACTTGTCCACAGATATGTTGAATAAATTAATAAATAACTTTAAAAAGTGTTAATAGGTATGCTATTAATATCATGTTGGATACACCAGTTAATGGGGGATAATAATATCATATTGTGTCATGTAATTCAACAGATAATGGGTGGGCTATAGAAAGGTTTATTCACCTATGGGCAAACATGAATGTTTGCGTTCCAAAAAGAAAAGTTAAAAGGACAGTTTTTTCCATGACACTGCTATTATTTTAAATACTTACACTACTCGGCAATGTTTCATCTTTTAAAAAATGATGATTAGAATTGGAATAAAACCTAAACATATGATTAAAATGAATTAAGACATTTTTTCTGTTCTTAGGAATTTACAACAAAAATATTAAACGCTAACTGGGGACAAACAAATTCACATCCTTCACTTGTCCGAGGTCATTGGTTATGGCCTATCATAAAACAAATGCAGGTCAGATTTTTTTTTTTTTTTTAATTCTATTTATTTATTTCTATATTTATTTATTTATTTACTTTTTTTTTTTTTTCATTTTTTAATTCTTATTCTCCTCCTTTCAGGTGTGTACTAATCTCTTTATGGGCCCTGACCAGAGACCTAAGGTCAGAAATGCCATCAAAGTCCTTGACCGTTTCACTTCTCAAAATTTGATTCAGTGGAATCAAGTTTTATTTGGGTTGTTCTTAGAAAATTTTCATCAGTCACTCCAAAACTGGCTTAAGAAAAAAATCCATCAAGAGTTACTTCCCTTGGAACATTACTTTAGTTTAAAGCTACGCTTTTATCAGTATCCTATTATAATTGTGCTTGTCCCTCTCTGAGTTGGTTAGAACAGCCGTTATGTCCTGTCAATACCTCATGAATAATGGACTATTCCGCGTTTTGATCACGTGGAAATAGAGAAAAAGACATTACTTGGTTTCAGTGAGAAAATGAAAGACAAAAAGAAGGGAAAACAGAAAACGTCACCTGCCAATGCCTCATGAATAAAATGGACTATATTTCGTTTTGATCGCATGAAAAGAGGGGAAAACGAGTGAATGAAAGAAAGAAGTGTTTAAACGGTAGTTTCAGTAAAATGGAAAAAAAAAATTCAATTTCAAATCTTTTCATTTGTACCCACTTCTTAAAATAAAGACCAGCATTATGATTGTTATTGCAATATTTTGTTTAAAGTTGTAAAGTTCAGATATTTAATTTAACGATGTCATAGGGGGAATTTATACGGATATTTTATTGTCGTAGAACTTACCATGAGCTTATTAAACATAAGAATTTAAGATTCATCAGAAATTTAAAACAGGACCCCCCTCCCCCCAAAAACCGTGAAATTTTCACGGGTATTTCTAGTAAATGTACTAATTTGATAATGCTTTATTCGAGATAATGAATCTCGTTATTAATAATGAACTGAAGAGAAAAATTGTCTTCTCGTCATGATGTGGGCCTTCTTTTTTTTTTTTTTACACTGAGACCGCCACTGATTAAACTTATTAATAAAAAAAAATTTAGAAATAGGGTATGTAATGACAAAATGGAAAAATTTATGGTATATAGAGATGAAGGTTGGGCTACATAACTTAAAGCCAAATTTACTCTCTATAAGTACCATTTTTATTATTGACTACATATGGTTACAGTTGTTGAAGTGGGTGACTACCATCTTAGTCCTTTTGTGATTTAAGAGTTCATACGGGGTCGTTGTTTTTGCTTGACAGAAATTAATTTATTGAATTCATCCTTTCTTCTTTTTCTTATGGAGTTGCCCGTCCGATCAAACTCAACATCCGATGAATCACCAAACCCTTGCGTCTCAAACTGCTACATCGAACCATTTTCCCCACTTCTCCTTGTTGCGCACGTGTTTTTTTTTTTTTTTTGACACATCCGTTTGATTTTTGGCGGGACGTATTGTCGCTGGTTGCTTTTTTTATGACGTTCTTTGACCTATGTCCGGGTTCTGTCAGTTACCAAGGATAGGAAAAATAGAAGGAAGGGAAAGGAAGTATGAGTATGAGAGAGAGAGAGAGAGTTTGTCACTCTCTTAGTGAAAAGGAAAGTGTATATTTCCATATGATGTTACTACTACCTAATCCGACTACAAATTCTTTTTTTAACAAGTTTCTTCCCTCAAAAAGACTTCATCCAAGCGAAACGTTTTGCATAGAAATTTTTCCATTTTCTTATTCATTTGTTTTGTTGTTGGCGTATGCTTGCTGGTTGTGTCTAAAGTCGGAAAACACGTGTCTCCTGGTATATTTATCTCACATTGCGTGTTACAAAACAATGACTATGAATGAAGAAAACATTTAAACTAGTGAAGGTGTTTGTGTAGAAGTAAGTGTAACAAGCGTGTATGATATGTGTATATATGCATGTGTGTGAGAGTGTTCGAAAGTTAACAGAGGACCAAGTGAAGCGACTACATCAGAAAAGCAGAGAAAAAATCCGAAGAGAGCGAGGACAGAATGTCACTACCTATTTATATCCTTAAGGAGCGTCCCCTAGCGACGTTTTTAGGAAAGTAAGTGGGGTAACTCCACAATAAAGCGTTTATAACTTTATACAGAGTACCCCACCGCCACCGAATTGACATAATTTAAAATGTGAATATCTGAGTAACTACATGTCCCAGGCAAACGCAATTAAATAGACTGCATGTTGAAAAATAAAAGATTTATTTATCAAAATTCAAATAAGATATTCAAAAGCATTTTGATTTTATAACCAATTTCACAAAGCTTCATAAATGTTCAATATACGCACCACCTGAAACACGACACACGTCAAGTCGGTAGTTCAGTTCCTGCCAAACACGCAGTAGCATGCCTTGCGTGACATTCTCC